TTTGAGATGGAGTCTTGCTCTGTCAACCAGGCTGGATGGAGTGCAGTGGTGCGATCTCAGCTCACCATAACCTCTGCCTCCTGGGTTCCAGCGATTCTCCTGCCTCCACCTCAAGCAGCTGGGACTACAGGGGCACACCACCACACCTGGCTAATTTTTGTATTTTTAGTAAAGATGAGGTTTTCTCATGTTGACCAGGCTGGTCTTGAGCTCCTGAACTCAGGTGATTCACCTGCCTTGACTTCCCAAAGCATATTTTTATTTTCGAATAAATAAAAATTCAAGGCTTTTGTGTAGCTAAGGGAGTATGTATAACAGAAAACAAGTTGTATCTAGAATATATAAAAACTTCCTACAAATAAATAATACAAACAGGAAAATTCAATTAAAAAATAGAGGAAGTGAGAGGGAATCATACAGAGACTATACAAATTGTCAATAAACACTTGAAAAAATGTTCACTATCACTAAGAATCAGGGAACAACAAATAAAAACAAGATGAATACTTTACATCCAGCTGGTTAGAAAAAAAATTTAAAGACGAGGGGTACATACTGTTGGGAATGTTGCAGGGAATTAGGTATTCTCAAAAACGGTGGAGTATAAAATGATAAAGTAATTTTGAGAGCAATTTGCATGTATCTATCAACTTTTTAAATTGCCAGTTCCCTGTAAGCCAGTCAATTCACTTTCCAAAGAAACTGCTGAAATTGTGCATAAAGTTGTGCATTTGTTGTAAATTGTTTTAATCACAAAACATTTTGCAAAAGCCATGATGACTGCAGAAGTATGGTTAACACTTGTTACGGTGCATTCATTCAATATTATTCTCTGCAGTGGCTAAATGGAATGAGCTAGATCTCTTTCCATGACAAAGAAGGCGAGTTCTTCAAGACAAGTAGAAAAATTAAGTTGTAAAACAATATATATTATGTAGTTCCATTAGGTTATTATTATTATTTTTGAGACAGAGTCACTGTGTCACCTAAGCTGGAGTGCAGTGGTGGGATCTCAGCTCACTGCAACCTCTGCATCCTGGGTTCAAGCGATTCTCATGCCTTAGCCTCCTCACTAGCTGTGACTACAGGTACATGCCACCACACCCAGCTAATTTTTGTATCTTTAGTAGAAACAAGGTTTTGCCATGTTGCCCAGGCTGGTCTTGCACTCCTGGGCTCAAGCGATCCACCCAACTTGGCCTCCCAAAGTGCCGGGATTACAGGCATGAGATACCAAGCCAAGCCTAAATTAAAATTTATATGTATAAATCTATCAACATATGTACATCTGTGTGTAGATATGAGAATGCAATAGTGGAATATAGTCCCACATAATTATTAACACTAGTTACCTTTGGGATGAAGAGTGGAATTAAGGGTCAGGATGGGTAAGAATTTTTACATTTTACTTTATGTATTAATACATGTCTTAAATCGTTTGTGCTGAGAATATATTCATATAGTATTTCTGCACTTTCTAAAAAAAGAAAAAGATATTCATAAGAAGGAATTAACATGAGTGAGTATAAGTTAAGAATGAGTTTGCTTGCATGGCATGGTGAGGCATCTAATCTAATTAGGGTCTAGGATGCTTCTAGGTGGAAAGGGGAATTAAAATTTAGTAGGAAAAATGGGTCTAAATTAAAGTGAAATTCGGAACTAGAAAGAAGAGTTAAGGTTTCATGCTGTAGCTTTAGTTTTACTTAGGCTAGTTAAGATGCTAGAAAGGGCCATAAAACCTCAACATCACTGCTGTGCAGTTGCTTTTGACCTGAGGTTGGGGGTAAGGTGAAAACCAAAGTGGGAGAAATTCCACAATACATTGAAAATTCTCCTTCAGTTTGTCAAATTTATTCAAAGTTGGCTTTGGTTTCTCAGAGTAAGCTTATCAGATGTCAGAAAAGTAGGATTAGTTTCCAAAGGCAGCTTTTTGTTTTATTGCTTTTTCTTTTTTTTTTTTTTTTTTT